AAGAAAGAATTGAGTCCTCCTTTAGGTCAGCCTGTTAGCGTTTTCAGAATAGCCGTCAATTTTAACTCTAGACGGGACTTGAAAATAATCATGTAAATTTCGTAATTAAGAATTGGTTAGTTAAATTGATTTTTCCTGGTCATCAACATTATCTTTTTCCTCTCTATTTCTTACAAGGGATCGAGTCTTGCGAGTTTTTTTTTTTTGGGGCAACCAAGTCTAGTAATTGCAAATTACATGTTTGAGGGTGGACTTCATATAGGGCATTGGCTTAAGTTTTCATTAAATTTTGCAACTATGAACCTGTTAATTAAACGACGTTTTCAATGATTCATATGCATCATGCTCCTCAGTGGGGCCTCATCGTTTATTTTTAGATTGCAATAAGTTACATGCACTAAAAGAGAATTATACTATCACAAAAAAATTGAAAATTATAAATTAGGAATATAATTTTGTGCATTAGCCACAAAAGAGAATTTTCTGAAATTTTGGGCATACTTTTCCATTCTGCCCTTTCTTGACTAAAACTTTTGAAAATGACAATCCAGTGCCTATCCAAGTTTCAACTCAAAAGTTATTTCATCTCTGTTTCTATTATACCTTCTGAACCTCTGACAGTTTTAAATCCCTCATTTGCTAGGCTAAATTTTATAGGATATGATTCTAACCCCGAAATTTTATCGAAGTCTCTTTCTTAATCTTGCTTTAGTCGTAAGAAACTTTCACTTTGCAATTTAATCTCTCAGAATTCTTTTATCCTTCCAGAAAAATCTGAGATTTATGCTAAAAAAAGTTGGATAGCCTTCCTATCTTATGTTAGTTCTTGTACCTCTAAACCTAAAATTTAAGATGTAACAAATGTCTGGTAGATCAACTTATAGAGCTTTGGATGTATAACCTGAATATGAACATGCGGATCCGACCGGTATGCACTTCCTAGTTTATCTTTAGGGAAAATGACAGCAAAATATCATGTAAATTTCAAAAAGACAAATAAGACACCTAAATAAGCAAAATGACAAATAGGGCATTGGGTACCAATTTGGAATTTAGATTTTTGACCTAATGACCAAATTACCCTGTCTGAAAGTGAGAGAAAGCAAAGAGGAAGACGCTGATGAAACATGGGAAGAAGGAAAGAAGAATGTTGGAAATGCTATTATCTTACTCCTCCGTATCACTATTCTGTAGAAATTGTTGATTTGGTGGGTTTTGGTTGTGGGAAAGAGGATTTGTAGTAAGAGAGGGAGTGAACCTGTGGGAAAGAAGTTGATGGCGGGATTTGGATTATTCATTTTTGTGGTTGCTTCATGGTGAAATAGGAACAGGATTATTGCATTTGAGTGTTTATATTCAGTATTAGGTGAATGATGAAGCAGAAATCAGAAAACAGTGGCAAGCAATTACGTAATATAACTGCTGTCATATGCCTGCTGGTTTTTGGTAAATCCCATTACGTGAATGGTAGATTTTATTATACATGTAGTTAATTATGAAAGTTAATAGTTCAATGTTTATTATGACGTACTTCAGGTACACGTTCACTGAATGATTTATTTATGCTTACAAGTTGCCTTTCTGGTGAAAACAGGTTTACAAAACCCATTGAAAAAGTGGTTACTTTTACTATAAAAGTTGTAAATCACATTATGTGTTTTGTAAAATTCAGCATGAAATTTTATTGATGATGAAAAGTAAGTTACTCATCCCCCAAAAATATGTTGCAAAACCTATTAACAAAGCGGTCACTTTTACTACAAAAGTTGTAAATCCCATTATATGTTTTGTAAAATTCAACGTGAAATTTTATTGGTTTTTAGAAACAAGTTGCTCATCCCCTGAAAACTGATTGCAAAAGCCATTTAAGAAGTGGGCATTTTCACTATAAAAGTTGTAAATCTCACTGTGTGTTTTATAAAATTCAGCTTAAAATTTTATTGATTTTTATAAACAAGTTGCTCATTCCATGAAAAGATGTTACAAAACTCATTTAAGAAGTGGTAATTTTCACTACAAAAGTTGTAAATATCACTATATGTTTTGTAAAATTCAGCATGGAATTTTATTGGTTTTTAGAAACAAGTTGCCAATCCCTTGAAAACATGTTGCAAAACCCATTGAAGAAGTGATTATTTTCACTACGAAAGTTGTAAATCTCACTATGTGTTTTGTCAAATTTAGCGTGAAATTTTATTAGTTTTTAGAAACAAGTTACCCATCCCCTGAAAACAAGTTGCAAAACCTATTGAATAAGTGGTCATTTTTACTACGGAAGTTGTAAATCACACTATATGTTTTAGCGTGGAATTTTATTAGTTTTTACAAACAAGTTGTTTATCTCCTGAAAATAGGTTGCAAAACCCATTAACAAAGTGGTCACTTTCACTACGAAAGTTGTAAATCACAATATGTGTTTTGTAAAATTCAGAACAAATGGTTTAATAATACTAGAAAACCAGACAGTTTCACATTCTCTGAAAATGGTTTTATGCGAAGAACAGAGACAGAACCAAAAAGAGGAATGCTAGGCAATAACATTTTAAGCTATGGGAACCCATCGAAAATGCTCTATGAAGAATAATATTTAAGCTTCCTACTTGTTTATCACAGTTGATGTTACTTCAGCGACCTCTTCGACGGCAACAATCTCAAGGAGTACGAGTTCTTTCAGACAGGGCAATGTATTAGCTTTTATAATTAACTACATGTATATAAAATCTATCATTCACGTAATGAGATTTACCAAAAATCAGCAGGCATGTGACAGCAGTTATATTGCATAATTGCTTGCCACTTTTTTCTAATTTCTGCTTCATCATTCACCAAATACTGAATATAAACCCTCAAATGTAATAATCTTGTTCCTATTTCACCATGAAGCAGCCATAAAAATGAATAATCCAAATCCCGCTATCAACTTCTTTCCCACGGTTTCACTTCCTCTCTTACTACACATCCTCTTTCCCACAACCAAAACCCACCAAATCAACAATGTCTACAGAATGGTGATGCGGAGGAGTAAGATAATAGCATTTCCAACATTCTTCTTTCCTTCTTCTCGTGTTTCATCAGCGTCTTCCTCTTTACTTTCTCTCACTTTTAGACAGGGCAATTTGGTAATTAAGCCAAAAATCTAAATTTCAAATTAGTACCCAGTGTCCTATTTGTCATTTTGCTTATTCAGGTGTCTTATTTATCTTTTTGAAATTCATATGATATTTTGTTATCATTTTTTCTTATCTTTATCGTCCCAACACCAAAAAAGAAATAGGGAGCCAAAGCTGCAAGATTCAGGTGCTCTGACAATATTGGCAGGTTTTAGGTACTAATACTAACACAACAATTATTCTATATACAGAATGCTATATATTATGTGTCATATATTATTAGTTAAATTTAGAAAAAAAGATTCAATCCCGAATTGCAAGTTAAAAGCACAGTCGATGTCCACAAGGGACAATGCTGTCAAAGATAGATATTTTCTTTGTAAAGTAGCAGATAGATTGGGTTAATTATTTGTCAGGTGAAAAGTCACTTTATGGATCTGGACACACCACCATGCACGGATGGCCCTTGGAAATGTATACTCAATTCCAATTCTTGCTATGCTTTTATTAGCTGGAATGTGACCAAATAAAGGAGGTTGCGTGGAAGAACACTTCGGGGGTGTTTGGCAAAATCAAAACCTAGGTTTCAGAAGCACTTTTCCGCAAAACGAGATAACCTCCTCCACATATTTACTTCGTAATCCATAAAAGCACTTCTGAAACCATGGTTTGGTTTCTATCCAAACACCCCATTCGTCTCAACTTGACCTTGAGGATATAATTTAATTAATTTGGAGACCAATTTCACGCGTCTTGTCAATGTCTCAGGGTTGAAGTGAAGGATAGGAAATGAGGGAATCGCCGGGTCCTCCTTTTCGTTTTCAGAATAGCTGTCAATTTTAACAGTGGATGTGACTTGAAAAAATCATGTAAATTTCGTAATTAAGAAATGGTTATAAATAGATTTTTCCTGGTCATCAGCATTGTTTTTCCCACCTCTATTTCTTACAAGGGATCAAGTCTTGCGATGTTTTTTTGGGCAACCAAGTCTGGTATAATTGCAAATTACTCTTCCGATCTTTAATATAAGATCTAATTGTTGAGTTAATTTTAATTCTCAATATAAAATTTATTTCTCATATTTATTAATTTTTTCTGAATTACCCCTATGAAGACTCCCTCAATCATAATCAAGTAGAAGAGGGAGGAAGGTTATTAATAAAAATGATTATAGTATTTTAGGAAAACATGTCATATTTCTTATAATTAACTAATTTACCTAACTTTCTTAATCTAATCAAATTAATTAAATAGGTCTTATATTAAAGATCGGAAGAGTACGTACGTGTTTAAGGAAGGACTTCATATTGCAAGGACATTGGCTTAAGGTTTCATTAAATTTTGTAACTATGAACCTGCTAATAAATTAAACGATGTTTTCAGTGATTCACATGCATCATGCTGCTATGTGCGGCCTCATTTTCCTTCTTTTGTTATATTTCTTTACTTTAACTTATGAAAAAATACCATGACATCGCATCCCATTTGCAATGACTTTTAAGCTTCTTCCAAGTGGAATGAGCATAAATGAACAATACTATGACATAATTTCGGTTTCTTACAAAATGAGAAAACGCAACATCATTACCCAAAAAGCTTAAATTTCCCGTAAAGCTGAAGCACCCCTTTCTTTAACAAAAAATTGAGAGTTATACATCAGGAAAATAATTTTGTACATTAACCACAAAAGTACAATAACCGTAATCAATTTTTACTCGAGTACAAAAGTGACACACTTGGTGAAACATTACCGCGAGAAGTTGAAGCAGTGAATCCAGAGGAATTTGTGTTGGAACTAAAGCTTATATTCTGGTTTTGACTTGCATATGAAGCACTGGAGCTGGATAGGATTGAAAATGACATTGGGAATTCATGATAAGTTAGTATGGGCTAGCTTGAAGGAAGACTAGGAAATGGAGTTTCAAAGTTAAGCACATGAATTGCTTGCCTTATTGAAGGTCTATGGTTATGATCAGGATGAGCACACCACAGCCCAACGATCATCAGGCGTTCCACTTGATTGTGGTCAAAATCTCCTTGTAGCCTTGGATCAACTGCTTCAAGAATTCTCCCGCTTCCATAGAGATCCCACGCCCAATTCACTATGTTTATTTCATCTTCTGGAACCCTATGGTTGAGAGGTTTTCTTCCACAAACTAACTCTAGAGCAACAACTCCAAGACTATATAAATCAGATTCTTTACTGGCCCTTCCAGTAGTGATACATTCAGGAGCCATGTAACCCATAGTTCCTGCTAAAGCTGTAGTTTGTGCTCCTTTTGCATGGTCTACAAGTCGTGCCAATCCGAAATCTCCAAGTTTTGCATTGAAGTTGGAGTCTAGCGTGATGTTGCTCGATTTTATGTCCCTATGAACCACACATTGTTCCCATTCTTCATGCAGGTATAATAAGGCAGAGGGGAAGCCTTGAGCAATTTTAAATCTAATTGACCATGTGAGAAACCTTTTGTCATCAAAGAGATGAGAAGCTAAACTTCCATTTGGCATGTACTCGTAAACTAGCAACATCTCTTTCCTTTCATGACAACAACCGATTAGTTGCACCAAGTTTCGATGCCTTAGTTGACTAGTAGTTCTTACTTCTGAAGCAAACTCCTTCTTCCCCTGTTTAGAATCCTTTGAAATTCTCTTTATGGCAACATAGGAGTTTGAATCTTTGAGAAAACCTCTATAGACCCCTCCAAATCCTCCCTGACCAAGCTTTTGCTCATCTTTGAAATTATCTACGGCACTTGCCAATTCGGCATAAGAGTACTTTTTGGGCCCTGTTCCTGCTTCAAAATCATCGTGACTGATGTCGTCATTAGACTCACCATCTTCTATTTTCTTTTTGTACTTCCACAAGAAAAACAATACAACCAGACAAACTAAAACAAACCCTCCAACCCCTAATCCTATAGCAAGTGCTGTGGCATTTCTACCTGTACTGGGAGCAATACGTGGGAAGTCCTCTGAGTAGAAACTCCATGTATCGACCTTATGTACTACAACTGATGTTCCTGTGGCTGCTGAGAAACCGAAACTAACCCATTCAGGCAAGTAATTTCCCAGGTCAACTATTTGATGAAGATGTTGCCACACAGTGTTGTTAAAATGATCAAAACCAGTGAAGGAGACACTTAAATTACGTGTACTTACATTGTAGCTGATGAAAGCCTGATTTGATCTGCCTCCTGTGATATTAGCCAGCCATCGAGTTTCCCGGTGGCTTTGTCCCACAAGGGCATCGGTCCTTGATATGTGGCTCGACCTTGACTATTGTCTGAGGATAGCTCCTTTTGGTTTCTTACTAAGTAGAGGTGTGACTCTGCAATGTAAGCTGATAATTCCCACGATATCATGCTATAATCATTGGGCTGGAAACTGGTGAAGCTGAAGTTCATGGAAAAGGCATGGGATATCAGGAGGAAGAAAGTTGATATTCGCAACATCCGATCTGATTTGGCTAGGAAGTATGCTGTGTCTGAGCTTTCAAGGAGAGGCATTTATATATACAGTCGAAGAAGAAGCTTGCGAGTCCTCTTTTTTGGCAAAAATTAATCAGCTAGTGGTAATAATTTTAATTATCTTATTTTTAATAAAGTCTCTGTAATTCCCCCCCCCCATATTACCAAGTCATTGTATCCCTGATTATTATGCATTTATGATGTTATACTAGTGGTTCGGAATTGGTTTTTTTGTTCAAAAGTTACGAATGTGTTTGGATCTTCTAACTTAAGTCCTTAACGAAATAAATGTAGAATTTGTATTTGGGAAAAGGGGAAAAAACAAAGAAATTAGTGCACCCTTTTATAAGATATGACTTCATCTTTTCGAATAACTTCAGTCTTTTATGTTATTTTCCTTTTTAAATAGTATACTATTTACGTTCACTTTATGAATGGAAAAAAAATTCACGAAATATGATTGGATGTAATTTGAAATGGATAATAAATTTTGGGTTTCATCAATGACCATAAAAAATAGCCAGAAAATGATCAATGAAAATGGATACTAATTGTGAGGGGGAGGAGTTGATTTGACTGAGTCAATATGAAAAAATCAACGCCCATTTGTGTTGAATGTCGACTTTCTCCATGAAGATAAAAGCTTGCATTAACTGTGTTTGGAATCAGCACATTGTCCCGTCTCTGATCATATAATTGAATTTTCAACCCCCACATAATGCATTTGTTGACCCGATTTTGTGGATTTGAAGGCATGGCAGAGAAGCTGACTATATTCCCACCGAGATATTGAAAATAAAATCTTTTTTTGAATCAGTTGAAATAGTGATTGGAATAAACCTAATCATGATTCAAATACTATGATTTAATTAAAATGTACAAAAATATTTATATATAACCAGTAAAATTTTAAAACACAAAGTTGAGATTGGAGATTTATATCTTCGAGAATCAATCCGGGTTCACGCTAGGAAAGGTCCACAATAGAAATGATTTATTTATTAAAGAGGTTGAGGAAAAGTATCAAAACAAAGAAAAAGGCTCGCACATGGTTTTAATTGATTTGGAAGAAAACATATGAAAGTGTATAAGAGATGGTCTTTGAAAAGTCCTAAAAAAGAAAAGTCTGCATGTTGCAAATATCAAAGTCATACAATATACATATGAAGGGGTAACAACTAGTATAAGAATACTGGAACGTGAGGTAAAGAACTTTTCTATAAAAATTAACCTACATTATTTCATACACGAAAACAAATCCCCCACTGGCCAAACAAAGAAAATCTCCTGTAACACAAATTAAACGTTATTCTCAGTATGAATTAATAATATTTCTTATTGTATTGATTCGAAAGTATTTTTTTATTATACATAAACTAGTACCTAAGTATGCTTACTGTTATAGGCTAGAAGGTCAGATAACTAAATACCATAAAAAGGAAATCTGACTTGAGATATAGCCTTCCAGGTAAGAAAATTGTTAGTAAAGAGAAACTTCCTTAGCTATTTTCCTTCCTTGATTTGTGCTGACGTGGATGATTGTGAGGATCCAGTGTATGGCCTATTACTTGGTGAAGGCCTAGCTTGATTGGTTGCAGAAGAACTAGCATAAGCAGATGAAAAGTTTGAAGAACCAATATCAGAAAAAGTTGGAGCAGCATACATTGGTTTGGGCATTGTTGGTGGAAGAGTGGGCAATGGAGCTTCAAAGTTAAGCACATGAAGTGCTTGTCTGATTGCAGGCCTCGTAGTGTAATCTGGGTGAGCACACCAAAGCCCAAGAATCATTAACCTTTCAACTTCTTGCTCATCAAAATCTCCATTATCAAGCCTTTTGTCAACTGCTTCAAGAATCTCCCCTCTGCCATAGAGTTCCCACACCCATTCCACCATCATGACTTGTTCATCACTAGCATTAGGGTCAATTGGTTTTCGCCCACATGCTATTTCTAAAGCAACAACTCCAAAACTGTACATGTCAGATTCTCTTGTGGCCTTGCCCCTCGCCAAACATTCAGGAGCCATGTATCCTTTTGTTCCTGCTGCAATTGTTGATGTTAACCCTTTGCCATGTTCTACGAGTCTTGCTAATCCAAAATCTCCAAGCTTAGAGTTGAAATTTGAGTCCAACATAATATTGCTTGATTTTATGTCTCTGTGGACTACGCATTGCTCCCACTCTTCATGCAAGTAGAGCACTGCTGAGGCTAAACCTTGAGCAATATTGTATCGAGTTGGCCATGTCAAGAGGTCTTTGCTTTTAAATAAATGATAATCTAAGCTTCCATTTGGCATGAACTCATAGATGAGTAGAAGATCATTTTTCTGGTGGCACCAACCCATCAATTGTACCAAATTCTTGTGCCTTAATTGACTGATGATCTTTACTTCAGAGGCATACTCCTTTACCCCTTGTCTAGATTCTTTGGACACCTTCTTAATTGCAACAAAAGTATTTAAGCCTCTCATGAATCCTTTGTAGACACCACCAAAACCTCCTTCTCCAAGTTTGTGTTCCTCTGCAAAGTTGTTTGTGGCTCGCGCAAGTTCATTATAGGAAAACTTCTTTGGTCCAACACTTTCAAAGTCTCTGTCCAAAGAAACATCCAAGCGATCATCTTTTCTTGCCCTGCAATTTAACTTCCATATGAGGAACCAAGCTATGCATAACCCACCAACCCCTACAACCGATCCAATGCTCAATCCAATGACCAAACCCTTATTATTGCTTTTACTCTTTTGCACCACTCCTCCCCACACTTTATTAAGACTTGAATTGAAGGCCCATGAGCATAGCGTATGTAACTCAAACTGAAGTCCTGTGGCTGATGAGAACCCAAACTGAACTTGTTCTGGTAGGTAGTCTCTCAAATCAATCTGATGGGAATAATTTTGTCTGATTTTGATGTTATTCTTATATCCTGTGAACATGACACTTAACTGCAATGAGCTAGAATTGTAGGTAATCTCAGCATCATACTTTCTACCGTCATTCATAGTGTACCATTGTGTTGTGTAAGGAGACCACATTTGTTTTACATTGATTCCCACATGATCATAAGGTGGATCTCTTGCATTAAGCATGGTGTCAAACTCGACTGCTACAAATGGATGTGCATCAGCATAAGTTGGATCTCCCATTTCTCTACGACCCACAAGACCAATACCAGTGCCATCTGGGGGCACTGGAAATGGAAAATTCGGGTGTGCCAAGAAGAATGTGATGCCATCTCCATGCCCATCACGAGTTTCATTTAGTACATTGATGATGAAGCTGAAACGGGTAATGAAGTTTACAAGTGTTCTTGTCTCTTTGTCCCCAAGTTGCAGCAGGTTCTTGTATGTTACTCTCCCTGCACTGTCTTTCTTGTATCTGAGTTAAAAATCAGATTGTTAGATTCGTAACAAATTTATACATGTATAGGAATTTTCTTATCATATATCTTCAACTTCAGTTAAATTTTAAAGATATGAGATAACACCAAATTAAATTATATGACTAAGCGTGTGGCTGCGGAAGAACATCAAAAACTTCGAGTAAACGCACGGACCGTAAGTGGTGGTCTCTAGCAAGTCTTCGCATCGCATGCATTATCTTTCGATTAATTTTTGTGGCTTAGATTGTAATAGAGATTTATTTTGTCCGCCGCAATTTATGTTTTTTTGAGCGCCAAAAAAGGTTAGCTCTTTCCAAGTGATTTATTTTATCCGCAAGACTTGGAAATTATCCAGATAGATTTGATCTAACTACTATTGATTTATCTCCGTTTCTTGACAACTACAAAAAAAAAAAATATACATACTTGATATACAAGATTGACTTTACAATAAACAGAGAAATCATAATTACGCAGAGCTTGTAAGGCCAACAGTTAACATTTGAATACCTCAAATTAGTGAAATCCAATGGAAGGAACAAGATCATCAGCTAAATTTTTTACCCAAACACACACACGCACTGATAGAAATGCCTTTTGCCTGCCTATGGTGCCTGTTAAACTGTTTTTAAAGAATTTAGTTCCAGTAAAATAGAAGAATTTTCAAGTCAGGTTGGTGCTTTTTAATAGTATAGGTTGTGTAAATTTTATACCCACTCCAAACTTTTTCAATAGTCTTATTTCCAGTTCCCTACAATAATTTTGTCCAAGACTGAAATAGGAGAATCTTTACTGGTTTTGTGCAAGTTTCATACAGTAGCTTTACTTTCCGTTCGAGACAACAATTTAGTCCAAGTTTGAAATGACTTTTAAATGGAAACATATATAGAGCATTTATAAAGTGACTCATAAATAAGGACTCTGGGTGTATATCATAAGACAAAAGTGAGAAAAATGTTTTTAAGAAATTCAAAGCATGCAACTATAATATACGTTTTGGACAGAAGAGCTTCTATGTGTGTGTGTGTGTGTGGACACACAAAATATCATTTAGATGAGACCATCGATCAGAATGTAATAAAAGAAACTAGAAGCACCAATATTGTCTCCTGATGTACAAATTACCTGGTGAGGTTGAGCATCCCATTTTCCTGGAAAGCATCTCCTTGAAGGTTCAAGCTCTGATGATCCACATCAAGAAATTTCTCATAGTTGAAGCTTATTGAGGTGACACGAGCAGGGATTATGAGAAACAAGAAAATTTTTGTTATGAACGAGCAAGGAAACAGATGACTATTCCTCCTCTGGGTAGATATCGCCATATGGCTGATCACATGGAAGTGAGACTTATTTATGTTTGGAGGTAGTTTAGGAAATAATGACTTGGATTATATAAAGAGACAGTGGGTTTTGTTTCGTAAAGGCGTATAATTGTATAGATGTTATTGAATTATGGAGAAAATTCTTCATTTGATCCCTATGATTTACGTTAATTGATACTTTGATCTCTATAATTTTTTAATTTTCAAACCACCCTATGACCCTGGTCTCTCTCACATTATATACGTTACATCTGTTTACGCTTATTTTAACAATGGATTTACCATGGGCCACGCAAGCAAATTCTTCTAGAAATTTGTTGATATAGCAATCAGTCACCTAATTTGGTTGACGCTAGGCATTTACTAGCCGTGTGAGGTGGGGCAAATCATTCACACTTAAAAGAAGAAAAAAAACACGCAAAGCCCATTCTTTTATTGTGATTAAAACAACCGGTGATACACGATGCCTTCACAATTTCAATTTTTAGAATTTTATTCCCCCCCCCCAAAAAAAAAGCATGCAAAGTCTCTTCCTTTATTGTAATTAGCTGGGTTTTGTATTAACTTCTTGTAATTAATTCTTTGATGGAATTTTTTTCCTTTTCAGAAAAGGGGAAAAAAAAAAAAAAACAAAGCATGCAAAGTCATTTGGGATTGTTGACTCCTTGATGGCTTCTTAGCCAAGGAGTCTATCTTGACTCTTGAGTCTTTTCCAGAGGAAGGTCTTTTCTTCCTTTATCCTGAAGAAAGAGGTTCATGGACTGCTTTGTCAAGAGTAGTACAGAGTAGTAGGTAGGTGTTAAGAATAAGAACAGTATATAGAGACTACTTTGTCATTTTTCTTACTTTGATTGATTGCCAACAAAAAAAAAAGAAAAAGAAAAAGGAAATGATCATAGCAATTAAGACAGTAACTAATTGTACTTAAAGCTTTAATTTCTTGTAAAGCAGTTGATAATATTTAACAGAAATATGTTTACTACAAATTATTAGAGTATATTTAAAAGTTCATTATTGCAGTGGGGGCTTTCTATTAACTCATGACATAATTTATTGACATTTTATATAAACTAAACAATCAATTTAAAAGCCATAAATTTATTATAAACATGTCACTGCATTTATTATTATGTCGTTTTTTTCCCTAAACCGACAAAGAGGACTAACAAGAAAGCTACTTTTTACATTAGTGGTTGCATGACACTCAATAATGAACATGTTGGAACGATTATAAACTCAGATTTTAGGCACTGATAGGACAAATAAGGCCAATTTTCGATAATAATGAACTGGCCTATATCCATAGTCTACTTGAGAATTCTTCAGAAGGGTGGATATTTTAATTGGCCATGTTCTAATATGAGAATATTTGACAGCAATTATTTTTTGCAGATTGAACAAAATAAAAATAAAAAGAAAAGAAAAGAAAAGAGTTCCACTGGTTTTCCATGCATCATCAATGCTGATTGGTTCAAACTCGAAATGCTTATTAAGCGCGAAAAAAAGTTATGCAAGACTTGATTCTCACACACCCACGCTCCCATGAGATACAGACTCAGACAATGCAACCATGTTAAAGTTTCCAGGTAAACAAAAGGCCAAAAACGAAATTAAGTAAATTAAAGCAATAAACAATATCACATGTTTTTAGTCAAATAACATTCATATTACCAAAACATACAAAAGTTTCTTAGATGATTGAAGTTCGCCTGTTGGAAATTATTACATATAATAAGCTGAGATCGCATGAAGACTAAAGACCACAAAAGAGAAAATGAAGGAATAACTTTAGATCCTCTCAATTGCTTACCTGCAGAACTACTAATGTGTATTGAAAGGAAATCAATTCTGACTTGAACTAGCATTAGTCCAAGTCTGAAATTGTAACTTGGAAAATCCAATTCATTCAGAATTGTTCCTTTGCAGATGAGTGCCCTGAATTGGATGAATATTGTGAGGACTTAGTGTATGACCTCCAATTGGTTGAAGGCCTAGAGTCATTGGTTGCAGAAGAACTAGCATATGCAGATGAATAAATTGAAGAACCAATATCAGAAAAACATGGAGCAACATATGTTGGTTTGGGCATTGTTGGCGGGAGAGTAGGCAGTGAAGCTTCAAAGTCAAGTACCTGAAGTGCTTGTCTAATTGTAGGCCTCATAGTATAATCTGGGTGAGCACACGATAGCCCAAGAATCATTAACCTTTCAAGTTCTTGCTCATCAAAATCTCCATCAAACCTCTTATCGGCTGCTTCAAGAAGCTCACCTTTGCCATAGAGTTCCCATACCCATTCCACCATCATGACTTGGTCAGTGGGAGCATAGTGGTCAATTGCCTTTCTCCCACAAGCTATTTCTAGAGCAACAATTCCGAAACTGTATATATCAGACTCCCTTATTGCCTTGCTTATGGTTGCACATTCAGGAGCCATGTACCCTTTTGTTCCTGCAACAATTGTTGTTTCTGACCCCTTTCCATGTTCTACGAGCCTTGCTAACCCAAAATCTCCAAGCTTTCTATAGCAATTCGAATCTAACATAATGTTGCTTGGTTTTATGTCCCTATGAACCACACATCGCTCCCATTCTTCATGAAGGTATAGTACTGCCGAGGCTAAGCCTTTAGCAATATTGTATCTGGCTGGCCATGTCAAAAGGTTTCTGCTTCGATATAGATGATAATCTAAGCTTCCATTTGGCATGAACTCATAAATAAGTAGAAGATCATTCTTCTCGTGGCACCAACCCATGAGCTGCACCAAATTCTTGTGCCTCAGTTGACCGATGATCTTTACTTCGGTGGCATACTCCTTCACTCCTCGTCTAGATTCATGGGAACCCTTCTTTGCTGCAACATAAGAATTCAAGTCTCTGATAAATCCTTTGTAGACCCCACCAAAGCCTCCTTCTCCGAGTTTATGTTCCTCTGCGAAGTTATTTGTGGCTCTAACAAGTTCGTTATAGGAAAACTTCTTTGGTCCGACACATTCAAAATCTTCGTCCAAGGAAAGATCCAAGCGATCACGTCTTTTCACCCTACAATTTGACCTCCACATCAGAAACCAAGCTATGCATAACACACCAATCACTACAACTGATTCAATGCTCAATCCAATGACCAAACGCTTATTATTGTTTTCACCCCTTTGCATCACTCCCGGCACTCCAAGACTTGAATTAAAGGACCATGAACACAGTGTATGTAACGCAAACCGTAATCCTGTGGCTGAAGAGATTCCAATAGTCTCTCAAATCAATCGTACGGAATAATTCTGTCTGATTTTGATGTTATCCTTATATCCTGTAAACATGACACCTGAAGGGAAAGAGCTAGAATCATAGGTAATCTCAGCATCATACTTTCTACCATCATTCATAGTGTACCATTGTGTTCTATGATTAGTCTGCATTGTTTTTGAAAGGATTCCCACGTGATGATAGGGTGGATCATCCACATCCGTATTGGGAAAGGTGTCAAATTCCACTGCTACGAATGGATGTTCGTCGAGATAATTTTAATCCTGCATCTGTGTGCGACTTACAAGGCCAATCCCTGTGCCATATGGGGGAGATGGAAACGGAAAGCCAGGCTCTGCCAAGAAGAAGGTGATGCCATCTCCTTTCCCATCACGAGTTTCATTTAGTACGTCGATGATGAAGGTGAAACGAGTAGTGAAGTTTGCGAGTGTTCTTGTCTCATTGTCCCAAAGTTGCAATGAGTTGATGTATGTTACCCTCCCGGCACTGTCTTTCTTGTATCTGAGTCGACGAGAATCAGATTGTTAGATTCATGACAAATTTATACATTGGCATTTTTATTTTTATTTATTATATATGTCTTCCATTTTAATTGAACTGTAGAGATTGAGATAACATCAAATTATGACTAAGCATGTGCCTGGGAAATGACACCAAAATCTTTTATTCGAGTAAACCAAGCTTACGTACGTTTTGACCTTTGTGTTGGTGGCCATTAGGTAGTCTTTGCATGCATCATCTTTTGATGAAGTTCTGTGGCTCAGATAGCTAGATAACTAATACTACCTTTAGTTTTTAATATAAGAGTTAATTTGATTTTAATTTAGTTCTAAATATATGATCCTAATTCACTTTGTTTGTCATATTAATATATTTTTTTCAAAGTAGTCCTTGTAGTATTCACACATGTTAAAAATTTCATCAAATAATATTTCTAGCTAATACACATAATTAGTAAGGATATTTTAGGAAAGATAACATTTATTTATTACAAATAACTGATTTAACAAACTTTATTAATATACTAAAATTAATCAGCCAGCTCTTAGATTAAGGACCGTAAGTAGTATGTAGCTATTAAAAAAATTAGTTAAGTTATTTGTTAAAAATATGTGTTGGTTTTTCTAATATATCATTTTTAATTGTCTACATTGAAACCCCTTAATATGTGCAATCAATATAGATAATTTGGAGAAATAAATTTATAAATTTGGAAAACAAAGTAAATTGAGTCTTACAGTTAGTTGGTACGAAAGTTTAACCCATAACTAACTTTTATATTTAGGACTTGGGGAGCAATAAATAGAGCTACCTATTTTTTTTTAAGAAAAAAAAGTGTGTCCAACACTTAAATCTTATTTCCTGGGTGCATTTAACACTTTGATTTTATTTTTCTGGTATATAAAAATAAGATTAGGGTGATGGATGCACCAGAAAAATAAGACTGGGGTGATAAATGTACCATAAAAAAAATCAAGATATTAGATGCACATGAGAAAATAAGATAAGTTGTTAGATCCAACTTGACCTTTTTTAACTCTATTTCTTTGTTCTCCTCCACAATTAACCATCTACTATGTAATACCATCAACTAATCAAAATTTTAGTTTTTAGACCACCAAATATGGTTAACTCTCTTTAAGTAATTTATTTTATTCCCAAGA